CAGAGGAATTGCCCTCACTGCCCAGAGGCGGGTCTGGGGCTCAGCAGTGGCGCTGGGCTGGACTGGGGACTGCGGTGCTCGGGTCCCTCCGCTCCCGTCCCAGCTCCGCCCACAGGCTCCATGGGAGCCGGTGCGCTGAGGGACCCGGCTCTGGTAAGTGCTGTGTCCTCCAGGCCGTCTCGTCCTGACCCTAATCTCCCAATCCTCCAGCCCCGAAAGGGGCGCCTGCTCGGGTCTCTGGCCGCCAGACCCTGGTCCTGTACAAGGGGGCGCTCGTGGCGGATACCCCTTTTCCTGAGAACTAGTGGTATGAGTTGACTGGAGCCCTGGTGGCGTAGTGGTTAAGAGCTCGGCTGCTAACCAGAAGGTCGGCAGTTTAAATCCACCAGCCGCTCCTTGGAAACTGTGTGGGACAGTTCTACCCTGTCCTGTAGGGTTGCTATGAGTCAGAATCGACTGGATGGCACTTAACAACAACAGTGTGATGGGGGTGGGAGAGAGCCCCTGACAGAGGGACCGGCAGGGTAAAGGCTGGAGGTGCAGCTAAGCTGAAGCAACAGGGAAACCGTTGTGCGTCTGCAGGGAACAGAGAGTGTTAGGAATTACGCCTGGAGTTGTACCTTCATTCTGAGGAGGGTTGTGAACAGACAGATGGTTCCAAAAACTGCTCAGAGGACAAACAAACTGGAAGGGGGACGATGATGACAGTGAGGCCCAGGGAAATTGAGTCTTTCACCAAGGTTATACAGCTGGTAAGAACAGCGCTGGGGACCGGAGATAATACGTTCATCTCAAAGTCACCTGGTTCCAGAGAGCCCACCGTGGTTGCCTGCCTCTCACATCTGCCTCTTCCCGCAGGTTCCCATGACTGGAGAACCTTTCATGGATCCTACACAGGTGAGTGGCGGGTGTCCCAGAATCTCACTGCTCCTGAAGCCTCCCATATGGTCTCTGTGATTGTGGGGTTTTGGGACACTTCACTTGCCATTCTCCCAACCCATGCATCTGAGGATCCTAGAAAAACCCCAAGTCCAGGGTCTTGAGTCAAGGCTGGGGGTTATTTGCCAGGGTTCCCATTTCTGGCAATAATGGAAAGAAGTGTGGAAGATTTTCCTAAGAAAAGGTACCAATATGTGCAAATGCTAGGAGGTGAGGCCAGTGGGAATCGTGGGAACAAAGAGAAACGGGCAGGCATCAGGCCTGGAATGGCTGCCTAATAAGGTGGGCATCTATCCTGGAGGTGAAGGGAGCAATGTGAAGTTTGGATCAGAGGAGGAGGGTGATCTGCCCCACATCTTAGGAGGCTCCATCTGGCTCCACAGTGGAGAACAGAACAGAATCTAGGGTTAGGAAGGAGGTTACTGCAATAGTCCAGGTAATTGCTGTGGAGGTAGGAGATGAGTTTGGATCGTGGATCTGTGTTTTAGGGTGAACCAACTGGATTTTCACATGTGGAGGGTGAGGGAGAGAATGGGAGGAGTCAGTGATGACTCCAGCTTTTAAGTCTTGGCAGCTGGAAGGATAGAATCTCCATCAACTGAGATAGGGAAGTCAGTAGTAGAAGTGATTTTCAGTGGGGAAATCAGGAGGTTTGTTTTGGCCATGTTAAGAGTTTGGGTGTTTCAGAAACCACTGAGTGGAGGCATCAAGTGGGCAGCTGGACACACAGGTCTGGAGCTTTGGGGAGAGATGAATGGAGACATCAAAAAGGTGGTGGCCAGTGTGTGGACCAGGATGAGACTATGGGTCACATTTCAGAGGGGCAATCTTCAGGTCATGGTGGTAATGCTGTTAGTAGGCCAGGGAGACAAGGGTGGGAGTCAAGAACTGGGCCTCTTGCTTGGGTACCTGGTTAGGGGCAGTGGCCGTCACAAATACAGGTGAGGGAGAGAAGTGGCCATGAAGGGGTGGTGTGGAAGAGAAGATGGTTTGGCAGGTGGCCACGGTTTCCAAGGGAGGGGTGGACATGAGGTAGATATGGGGACATAGGAGTAATGAAGCAAGATGACACTGAGGCTGGGCCTGATGCTCAGTCACCACTCTGTGGACTCACCAGGACTTTGTGGTGACCTTCGGTGCAGCCTAGGATCATTCATTCAGGCTGGTGGATAAGCTCAGGGGCATGTGTGGCCATCTGTGAGAGTCAGTAGGCTTGGAGTATGGGCATTGGTGACTAGGCTTTGAATGAGGGTTGGGTGCAGAGAGGAAGGCTGTGGCTATTGAGGGGGCAGCAATTGCAGCTCAGGTGGAAGCGGGCTGGGGGTGTCTGACATCCACAGGTGGTTCTGGGTGGCTGAGGCTGAAGCCAGGAATAGAGTCGTCAGGCAGAGAGGCCTTCACAGCAGGACTTGGAGCTGCTCCTGTCAGTGATCACTGTTGGAGGTCTGGAGTAGTATTAGGTCCTGTTTGGGCTTACCAAGAACTCTCTTGAGGTCATGTGCTGAATATGTCAAAAGGCTAGGGAGGTGCCTACGTTGTAGGGCAGGGAGGTGGTGGTGGCGAAGAGGGTGTAACTGTGGGCTCCAGAGATGTAAAAGTGGTGCAGTCTAAAGAACGATGTCATGTGGGCAGGGAGTGTGGACTCATGGCCCCAGGGCCCTGGTGTTAAGGACTTAAGGGTGAAGCATTAGGGACTCTTAGGAACTTAAGGTCCTTGGGTGGCACAGACGGTTTGCAGTTCAACTGCTAACCGAAAGGTTAGTGGTTTGAACCTACCCAGCAGCACCTCAGAAGAAAGGTCTGGCAATCTGCTTCCCTAAAGATTACAGCCAGCAAAACCCCATGGAGCAATTTGCTGTGAGTTGGACTTGACGGCAACTGGTTTGTTTCTGTTTTTTTTTCTTTGTATTGGGGACTTAGGGCAGTGGTGGTTAAGTGGTAGAATTCTTCTTGCCTTCTATGATCTTGTCTGTCCATGGAGACTTGTGTGTTGCTAAGATGCTGAGTAGGCTTCAGTGGAGCTTCCAGACTAAGATAGACTAGGGAGAAATGCCTGGTGATCTACTTCTGAAAATCAGCCCATGAGAACCTATGGATCACAAATGTCTGATCCCATTGTTCATGGGATTGCGATGAGTTGGGGGCCAACTAGACGGCGGCTAACACCACCAACGTTAGGACTTAAGGGAAAGCCCAAATTTGGTTGTGTCTGGACAGCAGGATCTAGAGGTCCCTGGGGGAATTGCAGGAGGGGTGGGGCCCGGCAGGTGCCCACCTGCCTATAGTTGTTCAGGGCTGGACACAGTATTTAACAGAAACATGAGATAAAAACAGCACCGTCGGCACTGGGCCTGGTATCTCCTCTGAACTGGGGAAGGGGATGGACATGGGTGGCTATGTAAGGAGATGGGTTGGGGGTCCTTAGAAGAGAGGCTGTTTATAGTTTCATCTGTCCCCATCCTGGCAGGGCTGTGTGATCTTTGAAGACTTGGCTGTGTACTTCTCCCAGGAAGAGTGGGGGCTCCTTGATGAGGCTTAGAGACTCCTGTACCATGATGTGATGCTGGAGACCTTTGCACTCATGGCCTCACTGGTTAAGACCCTCATACCTACCCTATCGCCCTGGGCTGGGCTCTCCCCTTCCCCTCCCCCAGGGCCATCTCTGTCTTTCCCACACAGGACTGTGGGCACTGCTTTGTTCCCCACTTCACTGGTTAAGCACTGTGGATGCTAGGGCTGGACTAGTGTACTGTCCGTTTCTCTTCCCCTGCATCCCCAACCCATGCTGCCTGAAGCCTCACAGGGAAGGATTCAAGCTTAGGAGTCTTCCATTCAAGCCAGTGGATCCCACCCTTGTCTCTCTCTGCCTGGGTGATGTGTCCACATCCACACAACCTGTGTGCCCCAGGTTCTGCCCCTTACTCTAGCTGACGTTTCTTCCTGTCTGACTGCCAGAAATTGCAGGCATTCTCATAGTCACTGCTGACATGGACCATGGACTGTTCTTACAAGACCCTCCTCTGAGGTTTTTATTTGTAGTATTAATTTTCTGTCCTGTGGTCGTTGTGTGCTGAGTTGCTGTGAGCCAGTGCTGGCCACTCATCTGTTTTGTCTTTCTCTTGGGACTTTGCCGTATGGAGGGCCCATGTAGTTGCAGAACTGGGTCTGGAAGTACAACGCTGGTTATTTCTCAGGGTGGATATGGCCAGATGGTCTCAGAGGAGGCCTGGCCCTACTGAGCTGCAGCTGCAGGAGGGCACAGCAGCGGGGCTGTGTTCAAATCATACCAGAAACCTGTCCTGAATCCATCAGTATTTAGGAGCAAATTCCAGTGGCCACACCTCGTATCTACCTTTTCTTCCCCAGTCTCAACACTTTGCCGACTTGTCATTTCTACTCTGACTTCTGGCTAATGCCTACCTCTGTGGACTTCATGTCTCTCCAGTTTCTCTCCCTACTCCCTTTGCAGTGCTCTCCAACATTAGCCTGCACTTATTATATCGTGTTGTTGTTAACTGCTGTCAGGTTGGCCCCTGACTCATGGCGACACCACGTGTAACAGAGTAGAACTGCTCCATAGGGTTTTCTAGGCTGTAATCTTTACAGAAGCAGATCACCAGACCTTTCTTCCACAGAGCCGCTGGGTGGGTTCAAATCGCCAACCTTTCGGTTAGCAGCTAATTGCAAACAGCTTGCACCACTCGGGCTCCTGTTGTATGACGAGGTGTGCACATATGCCTAAGTAGTCCTTGCACACAAACTATTCTATTGCAGTTGAATTTTCCTGGGCTGGAAGACATCCTTCTGCACAGCGTTCATGGGTTTTCAGCAGCAAGGATTTACTGAAAGCCATTAGCAGAGGAGTCAGTTGGACACCCTGCTTCTCTTCCTTGTGCCACATTCCATCTTTGTGTTCTTCACCTGGCAAGGCCTCCCTCATTCTGTGGTCTTTAGAAGCTCAGTACTGCAGAGCAGCCGCTTCCTCAACCTGCCCCCATCTCTGTCATCTTGAAAACAACCCGATGCACTTGTTGCGTGGTGTGTAAATAATTTATGTTCAGTCTGCCCCTTACCACCAAAGTGCACATGAACTTCTCTAGAATTTCTCCACTTACAGGTTTTTGTCATGGGGTGAAGGATAAGGAGGCACCTTCTCAAGAGAGTGTTCTTGTAGAAGAAGTGTCACGGATCAGGATCCTCAAGGTAGGTTCGTATCCCCAGAAGGCCAATTCCTGTGAGACATGTGGCCTAGTTTTAAAAGACATTTTGGACTTGACTGAGTATTGGGGAATAGATCCTGGACAGAAACTCTATACATGTGGGCCAGCTGGGAAGCAAATCTGTTTTAATGCAAACGTTCACCAGCGCTGGAAGCAGCACAGTAGAGAGAAATCCTTCAGAAGGGATATAGGCATGCGGTTGTTTGTGAAGAGCTGCAGATTCCAAGTGTCAGGGCAGCCCTTCACCTGTGGAGAGGTTGGGAAGGACTTCCTGGCCAGCTTGGCCCTTCTCCAGCACCAGGCTACTCATAATAAGCACAAGCTGCACAGTGGCACCAAGCGTGGGGCCACCTTTCACAGCAAGAAAAGTCCTTACAGTTGGTGTGAAGACAAGACAGGCTTCAGCCTCAAACACATAGTTGTTCAGCACCAGAGTGTCCACACTGGAGAAAGACCTTGTGAGTGCAACAAATGTGGGACAGCCTTTAGCTGAAAGTTTAACCTCTTTCAGCACTGGAAAGTCCACACTGGAGAAGGGCCTTATGAATGCAACAAATGTGGAAAATTCTTAACTCACATCTCCAGTTTCACTCAACATCAGAGAATTCACACTGGGGCAAGGCCTTATAAGTGTAACAAATGTGGGAAATTTTTTAGCCAAAGCTCCAGCCTTATTGTACACCAGAGAATTCACACTGGAGAAATGCCTTATGAGTGCAGTGAATGTGGGAAATCCTTTACCCAAAGCTCTAGCCTCATTAAACATCGAGGAGTTCACACTGGAGCAAAGCCTTATAAGTGTGAGCAATGTGGAAAATTGTTTAGTGACACCTCCAGCCTCATTAAACATTGTAGAATTCACACTGGAGAAAGGCCTTATGAGTGCAATGAATGTGGAAAACTTTTTAGCCAAAGCTCTGGCCTCATTCAACACAAGAGAGTTCATACTGCAGAAAGGCCTTACAAGTACAATGCATGTAGGAAATCCTTTAGCCGCAACTCTGATCTCATTCAACACAAGGGGGTTCACATTGGAGAGGGGTCTCATGAGTGCAGGGAATGTGGGGAATTCCTTAGCAAAAACACCCACCTAACTCGGCACCAAAAACTTCACATCAGAGAAAGGCCTCACAAGTGCAGTGAATGTGAGAGAGTCTTCAGCCGAAAGTCTGACCTCATTCGACACCAGAAAGTTCAGTGTGCAGAAAGGCCTTATGTGTGCAGCAAATGTGGGCAAGCCTTCAGTGACGGGTCTGCTCTGATTCAGCACCGGAAAATTGACAACCCAGATAGGCTTGATGATGAGTGCAGTGAACGTGGGAAAGCCTTCAGCCGAAGGTGTAACCTCATCTGGCACCAGAAAGCCCACGCTGGAGAGAGGCCTTATCAGTGCAGTGAGTGTGGGAAAGCCTTCAGCTGAAGTTCTCAAGTCACTGGGCACCAGAAAGTTCACAGAGGAGAAGGTCCTTAGCTGTGCAAGAACGTGCTCTTTTGTTCAGAATAATGACACTAGAGGGGCCCCTTTGTGAGGGACTGATCTACCTGAATAGACATGCCTACATTTGAACATCCACAGTGGGGAGATTTCATATATAGGGAAAACCTTCAGGAGCTGCACTGCACTTTTTTTTTTCAAATGTGAAAAGGACCACATATTTTTTATCACTACATGTCAGAAACCGTATGGACCATTTTCTGGCAGCAGACCTTTGCCAAATTAACTTTGGAAACAGAATTCATGTAGGATTAGCACAATGAATGCAACTAGGGCACGTGCAGGTAAGTTTTTAAAAAATAATAAACCAAATACAGTTAGGTCAGAAACCATAGTGCCTATATACAATCTTATAATTTGCTACAGAGTGTTCAGGAAATGTCAACAAACTATCTCTTAATTTCAAAGAAATTCTCCCAGAAATGATCTGAAATTAAAGATCTTTAAAGACTTGATCACAAAGACTTAAAAGTCTCTAACTTATGTCATTTATAGTAATGGTAATTATTAAGAGATAGAGCCCTTAAAATTATTGCCCTGAGATAATCCTTAAACCTTAAAACAAAAATATGCCTTGAAGTCTTATTAAAACCAAACAGTAGTTTAGCTTAAGTAGTTAAAAATATCTGCCTAGAGAATTATGCTCTTTTAAAAACTGTCTATATGGAATCAAAGTGACAACAGCAACTTGAAAGATTCAGATGGGGGGGCAGTGAATTTATGTTAATGGGGGAGGAACAACTCAGAAAAGGAGGTTGAGAGTGGTACAACTCAAAGAATGTAATCAGTGTCACTGAATTGTACAGGTATAAATGGATGAATTGGTGTATGTTTTCCTGTGTGTATTTTCAACAACAACAAAATAAAAAAGTAAAAACAAAAAGAGAGGTACTTTTTGTTGATTCATAAGGATTATATGATTCTCTTTCCTTTACACAAACACTGTGCTAGAATCTAGGCGTGCTACACTTTTAACCTGCCGAGGGCCGTTACCAAAATTATGTCACTGCCAGTTTCTGTGGCACAAGCCATCTCACTTCTGCCATCTGGCAGTCCCCACAGTGTGCATCTGTCATTCCATCCTGCTCAGGGAAGCGGACCTCTATGCTTTCCCATTCTCTGAAGGAAATAATGAACAGCCTGAGCCTCTAGGGGGACCTCCTTCTCTTTTATCTAGCTTTAGAAAGGACATGAACCTAACCCAGTTTTATCCCTTAAGACCTGATCTGGGTTCTGCTGGCAGCTTGTTGGTCATATGATGCTTGTGATGGATTTTTCCAGTCTGGTAACTGGAATGTCATCAGTGTAGGGGCTGCCTGCCTCACTATCTCTGGTTTGTGCAATAATAAAGGCCTGATTGCTTGTTGTTTGTTTAAGCCACCTTTAACATTGAGGGAGCCCTGCTGGCACGGTGGTTAACTGCTCAGCTGCTAAACAAAAGGTGAGTGTTGCGAACCTACTCAGTGGCTCCACGAGAGAGAGTCCTGGTGAACTCCTATAAAGATTACAGCCTAGAAAACCTTATGGGGCAGTTCTACTGTCATGTGGTCACTGTGAGTCAGAATCGACTCGACAGCAATGGGTTTTGTTTTGTTTTTGGTTTTAATCTTGAGGATTCTATTTACTGTGTGGGGTTGCTTTGAAAAAATCATGAAGGGGTAAACAGCTTGTGTGGGGGGTCCCCAACTTTGTGTGGCTCAAAGGGTACACAGTATAATAGCAGAGATTAGCTCTCCCTGTCTCCATTTTTGGGTCTCACATACTTGAGGCCGTTGCCAGAAAATAAGCTAAAACTTTTATGCATTCCTGTGGCCTCCCTGGACTATTCAAAACAAAACAAAACAAAAAAAAACCTATTGCCATCAAGTCAATTCAGACTCATGACAACCCCATGTGTTAGAGTAGAACTGCTCCATAGGGTTTTCGGCTGTAATTTTTACAGAAGCAGATCACCAGGCCTTCTGCAGAACTGCTGGATAGGTTAGAACCACCAGCCTTTGGGTTAGCAGATAAGTGCAAAGCACTTGAGGGTATAGAAAAGGGAGATCCTGTTGTCCAAGGATGTGGCTTTTATGACCCAGCCAGCATTCCTGTTGACTCAGGTGGCAGTGGCTTTCATTGCTTGCCAATATTTGCTGCCTCTCCCAGGGCATGGGAGAGATGGTGGAGTCAATATAGAGTTGTCAAACCTGATTTTCTGAAAAGAGCTAGATTTTTCCTGTGAATAATTCTTAAAGCTTTGTTATGATATAACTGGCTTTGGTGCTTCCTTAAAAAGCTAGAAGTGGAAGTACCATACGACCCAGCAGTCCCACTCCTTGGAATATATCCTAGAGAAATAAGAGCCATCACATGTATAGATACATGCACACCCATGTTCATTGCAGCACTGTTCACGATAGCAAAAAGATGGAAAGAACCTAGGTGCCCATCAGTGGATCAATGGATAAACAAAGTATGTTATATTCACACAATGGAATACTATGCAACGATAAAGAACAATGATGAATCCATGAAACATAACATGGAAGATCTGGAAGGCATTATGCTGAGTGAATTTAGTCGCAAAAGGACATATTTTGTAAGACCACTATTATACTAACTCAAGAAAAAGTTTAAACACAGAAGAAAACATTTGATGGTTATGAGGGTAAGGAGGGAAGGAGGGAGAAGGGTATTCATTAGCTAGATAGTAGACAAGAATTAGGTGAAGGGAAGGACAACACACACTACAGGGGAAGTCAGCACACCTGGACTAAACCTAAGAAATTTCCTGAATGCAACCAAATACTTCGAGGGACAGAGTAGCAGTGGTGGGGGTCTGGGGACCAAGGTTTCAGGGGACATCTAGGTCAACTGGCATAACAAAGTTTAAGAAAATGTTCTGCAGTCCACTTTGGTGAGTGGCAAGTGGGGTCTTAAAGGCTAGCAAGCGGCTCTCTAAGATGCATCAATTGGTCCCAACCCACCTGGAGCAAAGGAGAATGAAGAACATCAAAGACACAAGGAAAGTATTAGCCCAAGAGACAGAAAGGACCACATAAACCAAAGACTTCATCAACCTGAGAACAGAAGAACTAGATGGTGCCTGGCTACCACCAATGATAACCCTGACAGGGAACACAACAGAAAGTCTCTGATGGAGCAGGAGAAAAGTGGGGTGCAGAACTCAAATTCTAGTAAAAAGACCAGACTTAATGGTTTGATCGAAACTGGAGGGACCCTGGAAGACATGGCCCCCCGACTGTTAGCCCAAAACTAAAACCATTCCCAAAGCCAAATCTTCAGACAAAGATTAGACTGGACTATGGGACATAAAATGATGCTTGTGAAGAGAGTGCTGCTTAGCTGAAGTAGTTACATGAGACTAAATGGGCAGCTTCTGTCCGGAGGCGAGATGAGAAGGCAGAGAGGGTAAGGAGCTGGTTGAGTGGACACGGGAAATCGGGGTGGAAAGGAGGAGTGTGCTGTCACAGTATAGGGAGAGCAACTAGAGTCACATAACAATATGTATAAATTTTTGTATGAGAGACTAACTTGAATTGTAAACTTTCACTTAAAACACAGCATTAAGAAAAAGAAAACCTTATGGAGCACAGTTCTACTCTAATACACATGGGGTCACCATGAGTCAGAATCGACTTGATAGCACCCAGGGGCAAGGACTGGAAGGCAGGAGGGGACAGGAAAGCTGGTAATAGGGAACCCAAGGTTAAGAAGGGGAAGTGTTGACATGTTGGTGAGGTTGTTAACCAATGCCATAAAACAATATGTGTACTGTTTAATGAGAAGCTAGTTTGTTCTGTAAACCTTATCTAAAGTATGATTTTAAAAAAAAAGAACTTAAAAAAAAGATATAATTGGCATGCAGTAAACTGCACATATTTAGAATGTACTTTGCTAAATTTTGACACACATATAGACCCGTTATGCCACCATCATCATCATGATAAGGAACATATTGCTCCCCACATTTACCTCATGCTTTTTAATAATCTTTCCCTGCCCTCTCTGTCCCTCCAGGCAACTTTTGATTTACTTCCCTTTACAGTAAATCGGTTTTCATTTTTTATGATTTTATATGATTGGAATCATAAAGTATTACTCTTATGATTTCCTTCGTGCTGCACAATTATTTGGAGATTCATCAATGTTGCTTATGTAAGTAGTTCATTTTTTTTTTTTTATTGCAGGGTAGTAGTCTGCTCTAAGTGTCTGGATATACCACTGTTTGCTGATCAATTTATCTGTTTATGCACACTGTTTCCAGCTTGGGGCTATTACAAATAAAGCTCTGTGAACACTTGTGTACGTTTATTTATTGGATATATTTCATTTCTCTTGTGATAATACCTCCAAGTCAATGCCTGACTCATAGGGTAGATGAATGTTTAACTTTTTAAGAAACTGTCAAGCTGTGATCTAAAATGGATCTGCTTTTCCTACCAACAGGATATGAGAGTTCCAGCTTCTCTGTGTCCTTGCCACTACTTGGTATGGTTGTTGTTGCTAGTTGCCATTGAGTTGGCCTATCATGGCAACCTGTCATGGATTGAATTATGTCTGCCCAAAATATCTGTTAACTTGGCTAGGTCATGATTCCCAGTATTGTATGATTGTCTACCATTTTGTCATCTGATGTGATTTCCCTATGCATTGTAATTCCTGTCTCTATGACGTTGATGAGATAGATTAGCAGCAGTTATGTTGATGAGATCTACAAGATTAGATTGTGTCTTAAGTCAGTCTTTTTTGAGACATAAAAGAGAGAAGCAAGCAGAGAGACATGGGGACCTCATAGCACCAAGAAACCAACCCAGGAGCAGAGCACGTTCTTTAGACCTGAGGTTCCTGCGCTGAGAAGCTCCTAGTCCAGGGGAAGATTGATGACAAGGACTTTCTTCCAGAGCCGACAGAGAAACCCTTCCCCTGGAGCTGACTCCCTGAATTTGGACTTGTAGCCTACTGGACTATGACAGAATAAATTTCTCTTTGTTGAAGCCATCCACTTGTGGTATTGCTGTTACAGCAGCACTAGATAACTAAGCACAACCTTATGTATGAGAGAATGAAACATTGCCCAGTCCTGCACCGTCTTCATGATCGTTGGTATGTTTAAGCCCATTGTTGCGGCCATTGTGTTAATCTGTGTCATCGAGGGTTTCCCTCATTTTCACTGACCCTCTACTTTACAAACCCTGATGTCCTTTTGTAGCAATTGGTCTGTTTTGATGACATGTCCAAAATAAGCACGCTGAAGTCTCACCATCCTCACTTCTAAAGAGCATTGTCATTGTAGTTCTGAGACCAATCACTCAGGGATCGAGGCCCAAAGGACATGATTGGTGTCCTTGTTGGTGGTAGTCAGGTCCCCCCGACCCTGTAGTTTCTTTTATCTCTTGTAAGATAAAAAGGTGTGACTCAAGGGTATGACTTGAATAAGGAAGGGTGGTGACTGGGGTAAGGGTGGTAGCTTGAGTCACACCCTCTAGTAAGGCCATGACTCGATACATCCCACCGTAATCTTGCCTTAT